TTTCCCCACATTGTCTAATGTTTGTACTATTAACATATATTGCATTTATATTCAATGGAAAGACTTTTAGATTTTTAATATTCCCATTTGGATTGAAGTATTTCCTCCAATACTTTTCAGTCTACTTTCTTCTTGTTTTCCCCTCTCAAGAACATGTTCTGCTTATCATATAATAATAATGTTTTGAGAACTAATTACATATTGTGTACATTGTAAGTACTTTGCTTATATTCTTTGTTAATCTCCATATCAACCTTTGAAGTTACTGATTACTCTCATTTAACAGATGAGGAATCTGAAAGTGAAACATGTAAGTGGCCTATTCCAGGTCACACAGCTAAAATACCACAGACAAAGTTTGAGCCTGGGTCTACCTGACGAATAGCCAAAGTGCCACACTGCTATATCATACTGGTTTCAAGAGCTTCTTGATTCTCTTGTGTGTTGGGATGACTGCCAGGCAACTAAGTAAAAGCCAGTTTTGGAATCAACTCAATACTCCTTTAAGACATCCTTAAAATTAAATTCAATAATTCAGTTTTCATACTATGGTGAACAATAGAACACTTATTTTGTAATACAGATAGGGGCCTCTGTCTGTCTATGGAGAGATGGCCTTTATTTGTCAACTCTGACAAATAAACTCTCATGTGTATTTCTAAAAAAAAAATAGGTATGTAATTACAGAAATAAACAGTGCCTCATGTTATTTTTGATGAATGTTTCAGTCACAAAATTTCAATCATAACCCAAGGAAGAAATGTAATTTTCATATGAGAAACAAGCCTTAAGAAGAAAGGACCTTGCTTTTAAGTCTGGTGTTTATTCAAAGCTTATTTTTTTAATAACTGAAGATTAATTGGAGAGAAAGCTTACAATACATTGAAGAAATTTCAGACAGAGAAATTTGCATTGCATTTTTAACAGCAAATAGTATCTTAGATATCCCTCCTTGGTTTTACTTTCCTCTCTTTAACTATATTTACCAACTAACCACAGGTCAGAATTCTTCCATGCCTGTACACAGATGGTAGATAATCCATAGTCTTTTTTTTCTCACTCATTTCAAAATTTTGAGAGAATTAAAGAAAAATTTTCTCTTGTTATAATAAAGTTAAAATAGCTACCATGCATCATATTAAGCAAGTTTGTATTATTTCCAATATTCACAACATTCCTCATAAAGGATAAATACAAGACTCAGAAAAGTGGTTCTCTGATTTACCCAAGATCATAAACCTCCAACCTAGAAATTAGTGATTACAGTTAGAGAGAGAAAAGGAGGAGCCAGGAGGTATAGTTAAGATAGTATTTATCATTAATCACACAACAGAATTGGAATCCAAACCCAAATGTATTTGACCTCACTAATTCATGTGGCCACTTATATTATTTGACTCTGAAAACCTAAAAAGAGAGAATTAAGTAATCTAACTCTTGAAGTGACACAAAAATTCATTAAACATCTATGAGACATTAAATGTATATATTATCCTAATTTTCTGGGATCAATTTTATTCCATAATTTATTTTTTCAGAAATAGTATAAATACAGATAATATACATAAAATGTATAAATATAAGTAAATATCAAATATTAATAAATACACATTATGATTCCTTTAGATTATTATTTTAAGGATTAAATGATCAAAATGTCTTATAAATAGAAACTTCCATTAATGAAATCAATCAAAACAACCATGATTAGAAATGATAATTCTTTTGTTATGATGAAATTAACAGGTAAATTATTTGCCCCTACTAACAATGTAAATTGTAAGAATTTTCTCTTAACATTGACTGGTATTTGGCTTTTCTGATAGAGATTTCTTAGACTAATCCACATCTTTGTTCAGGTGACACAGTTGTTTACTGTAGTTTTGTTATTCATTCCCAGGAAACATGTCCAGGAAGCAGAAATCAATCATATTTGAAATCTTTGTTCTAGCATTATATTCTAGAAAAACGGATTGTAATAAAAAAGGGCCTGAAGTCAAAGGGGAAAATGAATGAATATATTTTTTTATTCTACTTTTATTTTTGAATCTTGAGACTAAATATTTTTTATTTATATTAGAACTATATATATACATACTTTCTATATATACTTACATATAGTATATTTTATATATAAACCACTTATATAAATATACAGAAAATATAATTTGCCTATTCTTTCCAGTAGTTACACAGACAATAACCATGTTTGTGTTCATGGAAGACTTTAAGAACTAAACTTACCTAACTATTTAATTTCATTTCCTAAAACTTTTCTTTACTTGACTAATAATTATGTATTAGTACAATGTTCCATTCATACTTCATGACTCAATTCAATTAAAAAAAATTCATTACACATTATAGACTAGGCATTGCTGAGCTCTAAGGAAAGATAAAAAGATGAGTAAGATTCTGAAAGAAACATGTAGCAACTAAGAAATAAAGCAAGAAGAGTAAGATGGATACCATAACCAAGATCCAAAGTGCCATGTAATCATAATATGGAAACAATTAATTCCAATTGGGTACACTTGTAATGGAAAAATTAGAAAAAAAATAACATTAAATACCTACAATGAAAATATCTTTATTGGTAGACATTATTCAGTCTCGACAAGTATTGTGAAACTTAGTTTTCAAAAAGTACTCTTAATTTTTTCCTTCAGTAACTGTGATATATGATGCCTAGAATTTAAGTAGAAGGTAGAAATTGTCTCCCAAAATAAATAAAATTAAAATTTGGTAGGCTCATAAAAGGTAAGATCCATACAACTTGAACAGAATGAGGCAAAGCCCTATGCCCTTCCTCTCCTGTCTCTCCGTGGATCTCTCCTGATGTTTCTAGCTTCTTTTTAGTTTAGCCTTCAGCACTAGGGGAATCACATTGAGGAATTAGCAATGCAGCAGCTTATCAGGCTTTGTGTGTGTGTGTGTGTACACACACACACACACACACACATGCTTTCCTCTGTCTGAAGAGGTTTCTTCCCTATCTTTCCAACAACATCTGGCAGTTACTATATTCATGTTGAAGAATGGACATCACCTCTGGGGCATCTTTTCCTTGTCTCTACTCCCAATCCTTACACAATCTAGTCTGAATGAAAGGTTCCTGATTATCATTTCTTTAATTGCACCTTAAACTAACCCCATCATGGAGCATTTGAAACCATTGTCTTTTTCTCCACAAGTCTGAAGACACCTTACAGACAGGAATTGTGTTTCATTTGCCCACAGCATGGAAATGTCACATCAGAGGTGCTTATCATGGGTGGAAATATATCCTCCCCAAAAAGATATATTGAAATTCTAACCTTCAGTACCTCAGAATTGTGACCTAATTTGGAAGTAGAGTTGTTGCAGATTAAATTAGTTAAGATGACATGATATTGGTGTAGGGGGCCACATGGCTTTCCCTGGAATAGGGTGGGCTCCTACTCTGTATGACCAGAGTCCTCATAAGATGATGGCCATGTGAAGACAGAGACACAAAGAAGAAGGCACACTTGGAATTATGCAAACCAAGGAATATCACAGGTGGCCAGCAACTGCCAGCAACTACAAAAAAAAAAAAACCCTAGGTTTCAGAGAGAACATTGCTCTGCACATCCTCCAGTACTGTGAGACAACAATTTTTTTAATATTTATTTTTTAGTTGTAGTTGGACACAATACCTTAATTCCACTTACTTATTTTTATGTGGTGCTGAGGATCAAACCCAGGGTCTCTCATGTGCGAGGCAAGCTCTCTACCGCTGAGCCCCAGCTCCAGCCCAACAACTGTTGTTTAAGCCACTCTGTTACTTTGCTAAAGCAGTCATAGGAAAACAGCCCAGCACTCAATAAATTTGGATGAATATATGACTTAAAATTTTTCCCTGCCTATTACAAATCTGTACCTTATTCTTATTTCTTCTAGCCTTGATCTGAACTGTATTTCATTTTACCTATATTTGCCTGTTTTATAGTTTATATGTTAACAAATCTTCATACCTGCACTAACTTTGACTTTTACACTTAGAAAAACTTACTGGCAGATGTGCACTTCTTGACAACTAACACAGGAAAAGGAGAGATCGTACAATAAGACTTTGTTCCCAGATACAAGCAACTGAGAACCTGTTTTTCTTTTATCTAAACAGGTTGGCAGAAGTTTTGTTGTTTTTTTTTAATTGATACATTACAGTTATACATAACCATGGATTCATTATGCCATATTCATCCATGCATATGACATAATTGATCAAACTCATTCCCCAGTATCTTCCCTTTCTCTTCCATCCTCCCTCCCCTTCAATCTGCTTGTTCTGCTGATTTTCTATTATTATTATTATTATCACTATCATTATTATTAATATTATTATTTTAATTAGTGTGTTATATCTAGATATATATGAGGGGATTCATTGTGGTACATTTGTACTTGGACATAGCATAATTTGGAAGATTTTATTCCCCATCTTTACTGTAGACTTAGGTCATGGTATGCTGTTTTGAGTTTGTCGATCCCATTATCTTGCTGCCAGTTAGTGGCAATTTAGCCTGGTGGTCAATAGCTTAGACATTGTCAGATGGGCTGCAATCAAATCCAGTCCGCCATTTAATAGCTGGGATAAGTTGTTTAACCTTCCTTCACTTTACTTTCATCACCTGTAAATTGGAGTAACAGTAGTATCAAATTTCTGAATTGTTAGAAGAAAATAATGATGTCTATAAAGTTCTTAGTGTAGTTTGTATAGCAAGGTATTAATAAAAGTTAGTTAACATGTGTAGAAAAAAGCCTCCATTTAAAAACAAACCCAAGTTATTTCATAAAGCAAAATCCTCTGGAATAAAAACTGGATTGCGCTACAAGTGAAAAAAATAGAAATCTATTATGGGAAAAAGCATTTTAAAGTTTTGCCAATACCAGGGGGGAAAAAAAGGGAAGAATTCCACTGTCCTCAGGCACAAGGCTTTATTGAAAAACTTACCATGTTTTTCCCCCCTTTTAAATAGGCTAAAAAAAGAGATGAGATTCTCCAACTCTTAAGAAAACAAAGAGAAGAAAGGATCACGGTAAGACTGAGAGTGAAGCATTCAAATAAATCTATCTATAGGATGAGCTGCAGCAAGTTTTCAGAGGACTTGTAATGGATCCCTTGAATCTAGATGCCTGTGGTCTAGAGCCTTCTGTATATTGGAGAGAAGCAGGATATAGAGATAGAAATTAAATAATCTGGCAATCCTTAATAAACCAAAGTTATCTCCAGAGTTTGTAACTCCCCTGGCATAAGAAATGAGATGTTATTATCAGTGGAATCTTTTGTTCACATATTATGACGCTATACAATATTGACATAGGCTATGTCAGTGCTAATATTTGTTTACAATAATTGATCTTTCCTAGATCATAAAAATAAATGCTAAATGATAACAAGTTTTATAAAAATAATAATGATACATTATAAACTTACAGAGGCACAAACACACACTACTTAATCAACCTCAAATTCCTGTATATGGAACATTTCTGACCTGATATTTTCCAGATTTTAGAAGCTTGTCTTTATGAACTCTGTGATTATTTTTACCTTAGGTTCTTTTCAAGTTGAGTATATTTTGGTCAGTGCAAAAAATAAAATTTTTCTTTCTGATTTTTGTTTTGTTTTAGAAAGAACTGATTTCCCTTCCTTATAAACCCAAGCCCAAAGAACACAAAGCAAAGTAAGTTTACTTCTGGCAAAAAATATTCTCATCTTTTTACTTATGGTCTAGAGAAGCACTTCTTTTTTCTTACTTTGTCCCCTACCATAACATCTTCTAAAAACCCACCACACTATGTTAGGGTTTTCTTGCCCTGAATAAACTTTCTTCTCCTTGTAGATATTAAAGCCTTTGTACCCACTTGTATAGTTGTGGAATATGGAAGGATAAGTTTGTGCTAACTGGAAAGCAGATTGCATTCTCTGCGCACACTCTCTGTCCTTTCCTTCTCATCCTGGACTGTTGAGTTCACCTACCACCATGCTCTCCCAACTCCACCTGCCCCTACCCCACTCACCCTGCCATCTTTAGTGTATCAGCAGATTTTAGATAGCCAGCTCTAATCCTACCAGTCTCCTGTTTAAGTTGCTAAAACTAAGTTCATATAGAAAAGACTTTAACTTCTCAGTGATAGTTAATAACTTTATCCCTAAAGAAATGTTAGAATGGGATTGGGAACATGTTCTAGAGGAGTTTGAAGGAAATCAGCTATCAGTTAATCATTATAACACCCCTAATTTTTTTTAAATCTCCATATTTGTATTAGGACTGAAAACCAATGTGGCTAACTCAACGTTAAAACAAATATTTATTTTTCATATTATATTCAGGGGAGAAAAGCTAGCTTAGTCTTTTTTCTCTTTTGCCTATGGGAAGGCAGAATCTTGTCAAGACTAGAGAGGGATTTGATTTACTGGGACCTGACTACCACTCTTATATGAAAGGTGTTATAATGTAGCCATAGTATAGAAAAATAGTTTATGACTGAAATAGTAATAAGACTGAAGAAAATTTTTCATCAGCTCCTAAGTTTAGTGTAAAGTACATAATGTTTTGTTTACCCTTTGAATCCCACCATACAGTTATTGGTGTTAAACAATACAGATAAATAATTTTCAAAGTAAAAAAAAAAAAAAGAAAGAGTTGTGATTCTTACCTCACGGATCTTGAGGCTGACTCCCTTTACTGTTATCAACATAATAGCCTTGAAGAAGAATAAATATGTCTATACATTTTTTAAAAATCTTTTAATCACCCGGCTAAGCCTGGCAAAGTGGTATATGCCTATAATCCCTGCAGTTCAGTAGGCTGAGGCAGGAGGATCACAAATTCAAAGCCAGCCTTAGCAATTTATCAAAGCCCAAGCAATTTAGCAAGACCCTGTCTCAAAAAATAAAAAGGACTGGGGAATGTAGCTCAGTGGTTAAGCACCCCTGGGTTCAATCCCTAGTACAAATCATCATCATCATCATCATCATCTTCTTCTTCTTCTTCATCATCATCATATGGCTATATTGTCTACGTGATACTCAGCAACTTAATTTCTTACTATTTAGCCAGATGATTTGACTTATCTTGTAAGCGTAAAGAAAAACTAACCCAATCAAACATTTACTTAACTGATTGAAATAATGGATGAAGACTGCTACTTTGCATCAAACAGACATGTTGGGTGCCATTTCTGCATGTATTTTTTCTTTCTTTTTTTGTTTTATTAACACATTCTAGTTATACATAATAATGGGGTTTCTGCACATATTTTTACAGAACTTCCTACTACTACCCATGTTGACCCACTTAAAAGTAAAACATTATTTCAAAGCTTAGATAGATATTTATTTGAAATTTTTAAATGTTTATTTAATTACTTTTAGAGTATACTGATTCTCTTCTCCATCCTAAAGCTAAATTTCATTCCATTCACAGTGATATCTTCTTCGTCTGAACTTCCAAGAGTTACTGTCTATACATTCTTCTGACAACTGATCTCTTAAATACTTAACATTTCACATATTTTTTCTACAATTATAAGCTCTATGAAACATTGGGTAAAAGTGCCTAGCACAAAACATACATGTTGAAATTCAGAAAATATTTGTAAAAACAGTTTAGTTCAAGCAGAGCATGATGACACATACCTGTAATCCCAGCAGCCTGGGAGGCCAAGGCAGGGGGATTGCAAGTTCAAAGTCAGCTTCAGCAACTTAGCAAGACCCTGTCTCAAAATAAAACATAAAAAGGGCTGGAGATGTGGCTCAGTGGTTAAGCACCCCTGTATTCAATTCCTGGTACAAAAAAAAATAATAATAGTACAAGAATATCATGTCATTCAGTTCAGTATTAGCTAATTTAGAAATCAATATTTTATATTATTCACTGAGTCATACACACTTTTTAAATCTTGTAAATATCTTAGACACAATTGTAAAATACTTTAACTTTGCCCTTTTTTCCTCCCTCCATTCTTGCCTCTCTGCCCATAACTCCCCTACCTACAAAGATAGAGCCTTAACATCCCTCCTTTAAGAAATCTTTTTAGGGTAATCTGGGTGCCCTTCTATTAGAAGGAAAGAACTGGAAAGTGTGTTTCTAGAAAGGTTTTAGTAGCAATATGTTTATTATCCACCTCAGGAATATTTCATTTTAAAGGGCTAAGTATAAGAAACAACGTTTAATACAAAGAAATCACTTATCAATGATGAAATCTCAAGAATTTGGCTCTTGAGTGAACAAAATATATTTAGGGTAGTTCTTCTCCAATGCTCTTCAAATCACACTTCACATTTACAATAACCATTTCTCCTGATATAACTTTACACTTGGTTGCAAAGCCTAAAGCATATTCAGAATCCACAACAGTGAATTTTTATTGGGGAAATTTTCAAAGTTGTTTTCATGCTATATCATGTTCACAATGATAGAGTTCTGTGTATAGAAATTGATCCATATTATTACCAACAGGGAAGAGGTATCAGAAACAGATAAAGAAGACCAAGAAGAAGTCAAAGCCTTGAGCTGAACTGCTTGGTACAGAGTAAAAGATGGCTCACTTATATCTTCACATTGAAACAACCTACACTTACATAGGATCACTGGGATCACTAACAAAATTTCTAACTTTGTCAAAGGAAATAAAGATAAAGAAATAAGAGTTAAATGTGCATAATTCCATAAATTTTACCAGTTACTGAATACTTGGGTTAAAATGGACAAATAAAAGTTAAGTAAGTAGACTTCCATAAATTTTATGTCATTGAGTATTTGTATCTATTTTTTTATTGTATACTACTGTGTTTGACATCACATCATAATTACCTTTCTCATCTTACATATTCTCAAAGTCCTATTTACTATTTTTATTTGAAGAGTATTTTCAGAATTTCTGTATTTGATCTATATTGTAGATATCACATAAACAAGAATCAGAGGCTTTATGGCTCCAACTGATAGACTATTAGTAAAAGAAAGAAAAGAAAAAAGGATGAGAAAGGGCAGTCTTGAAAACTTAAAAGTCTTTTTGTTTTAAAGAATAGTCTCTTTTTCAAAATGTGATTTATTCCATTTTTAGAACATGTTTGAAATCAGATATGAACTGCTTCTAGTTCTGTAACCAGCTCAGCTTGCCTGTGTTTTATACACAGGCATATAACCCCATTGCCAACCTACTCACCAAAAGTTATTCACTTTGGTGTATACTGGAAAAGAAACAGTTAAGGTTTTGTCTCTTCTGCATCGTGCAAATGGCAGTCCAACTCAGGGTTGTACATTCTACCTCCGCCCCCGCCGCCCATGTTTGAAGTTCTATTTAGAACCATCATTCACTTCAGAGTCCTGGGCATAACCTCTCTAAGATGCAGCCATTATCCACAACATACCAAGCTGCAAAGGAGGCTGGAAATAAATCTTTAGATGAAGGGAGGAGGTATCTGCCTACTTAAAATTAAAGGACTCTATGGCTAAAAAGAAAAAAAGTAGAGGAGAACAACAGCAAGTTTCTGGCACAGCACTATTTGGACAATGTATCAGTCACCTTTTTGTTGCTATGACTAAAACACCTTACATAAATAACTTTGGTTTATGGTTTCAGAGGTTTCAGTCCATGGTCAGTTGGTTCCATTGCCTTGGGCTTGAGGTGAGGCAGAACATCATAGCAGAAGGTTGTAGCAGAAGAAGGCAGCTGCTCGGCTCATGGCATAAAGAAAGCACAGGGGCTGGGGGAGGCTGGGCACCAGAAATAAGTTTCAGGACATACCCCCAGTGACATACTTCTCCATTAGTCCCACCTCATAGTAGTCCATTCTGCTATCAGTGGACTAATCCACTGATGAGGTCAGAGTCCTCATGATCCAATAGCTTCCCAAAAGCCCCACCTCTGAACATTGCTGCCGTGGGAAACAAGTCTTCTACATCTGAGACTCTGGGGGGGCATTCCAGATCCAAACTATACCAGAGAAAATGTGTGGAACAAAAATTTTTAAAAATTGGGCTTAGATAGGAGAAATTTTAAAAATTATAAATTGACAATCCCATACCAGCACCATCAAGAATAAAAGGTACCATGTCAGATTGATATATCTGTCAGATCTCTACTGTGAAGATAAACAGAGCAAACTATCAAAGCCTAAATTTTTAAAAATATATTTTTAGTTGTAGATGGACACAAATACCTTTATTTTATTTATTTTTATGTGGTGCTGAGGATAGAACCCAGTGCCTCACACATGCAAGGCAGGCACTCTATCACTGAGCCACAATCCTAGCCCCAAAACCTAAACTTTTTAATTATAAGTCCCTTTGTTCTGATTCCATGTTCACTAAGAAATCTTTTCTATCCAACGGAAGAATATATGCTCAACAGGTCAACATAAACATCAGTTTACCTGACAGTTACATTTCTCAGTGTGTAATTATAGTACAAGTTCAGCATCCCTAATCCAACAATCTGAAAGTAGGAATCCTCCAAAATCCACATGATTTTGAGTACTGACATGATGCCACAAGTGGAAAATTCTGCAGTTGACCTTATAAGGGGTTTGCTGTTGAGGTGGAGGTGCACAAAAAATATTGTATAAAACTACCTTGAGACCATGTGTTTTGGCTTGGGTCCTGTCCCAAATATATTTCATTATATATATATGCAAATATTCCAAAGTATGAAAAAATCTGAAATTCAAAACACTTCTGGTCTCAAGCAGTTTTGGATAAGGGATACTTAACCTATAGTCTCTTAAATTATGTTTGAGCTAGTTGGAGTAAGGATTGATCTCTGGGCCAAGATAACTTTATCAAGAAAAATTCCACTTTGTGAGCATTCCTTTCCATATGGCCAGCCTTCCTTCCTATATGGCCAGATTGTGATGGTTAGCTTTTGCTACGACAATACTACATAACAAAGAGATCTAAAACAATTCCATACTTGCAGGTCAGCAGGGATCTGGCTGGTCTGGGCTTAGTCAGACAGCCCTACTTCAGGTTACAGCACCTAGAGCAGTTTTGTCATACTACAAATCTATCAACGGACTGAGGCAGCTCTGCTCCATGTTTGTGGACCAGTAGGATATCTGAGGTATGTGCCTACAACAAAGTGTAGAGAAGAAAGAGAACAAATAAAAATATGTGAAGCTTTTACTGGCCTACACTCAGAAAGTTCTGGCTGGTTCTGTTGGCCAAAGAAGTCAAACACATGGTTACACACAAAATCAAGGGCATCCTCTGCCTCTTTAGTAAGAGAAACTATAATGTCAGGGTAAAGGGTATGTGTACTGGGAGATGTGAAGAACTAAAGTCATTATTGTAATATACCACACTTGGTTGACTGTAAACCATAACAATGTTCAATTTGGACCAAAGTCAGTGTTATGGTTTTATATAAAGTGTCCTCCAAAAGTTTATGTATGATGAAACAATTCAAGAAGGCTTAGAAATGAAATGATTGCATTATTGGAACCTTAACCCAATCAGTGAGTTAATCCCCTGATAAGGATTAATTGAGTGGTAACTGAAGACAGGTAGGGTGGGCATTGGGGGCATGCCTCTGGGGTATATATTTTATATCTGCTGAGTGGAGTCCCCCTTCTCTTTCCCCCCTTCCTGATCATCATATGAGCCCCTTCCTTTTGCCACACTCTTCCACCATGATGTTCTACCTCACCTGCAGCCCTGAGGTATGGAGCTGGCTGTCTATGGACTGAGATCTCTGAAACCATGAACCCCAAGTAAACTTTTCCTCCTCTAAAATTGTTCTTGTTAGGTGTTTTAACCACAGCAGTGAAAAAGCTGACTAAAACAGTAAGGTTATCAAAGGGAAAACTCAGGACACAATTATTTGGAGCAAAAAGATAGTTTCTTTAAGTTGTAAAAAAAAAAAATGCTGTAATATTGGAAATAAATCCTTCCCAAGTGACATTAAGTTTCCATCTATCTGCACATTCACATGCATATTTGCCTTGCCAAATCCTCACAAAACTTTTAACGTAACTAATATTACCAAGAGTTCAATGAAACTTAGGCAAAAGAACTTCCCAAAGGCCACAGAGATATTAAAGAGAAGCAAGATTCAAAACAGAGCATCAGATGCCACTTCTAGTGCTTCTTTCCACCATAACAGTTCTTTCTTTGATTGATTAGATAACCAAGAGTTTCTAGTAAGGATGTGTGTTGGATCTGAAATGTTCTAATCAAGACATAGAGAAGGGCTATAAATGAACTTGCCATAAGGGTCAGTGTTATCCTGCTAATGATACTGTTTTCCACAATTGCACAACTTTCCCATGTTCTCTACTGATGCTGAAATACCCCAAGCTTGGTCCAGAATTGTTTAGAATTGTAGTGGCTCAAAGCCTGAAAAGCATTATTGCTTTCTTTGACTGCTGTTCTGAAAATCAGGATGAGTAGGGAAACAGAAGCAAACTGGGACCAAAATCCAGAAGTTCATGGCCCAGGTAAGGCTTCTTCTGTGCTTCAAAACAGCATGTTGTGAGCAAACTGCAAAGAACCTAGACCCACTATCTGCTATTTAGTGCCTTAGTTTTGGGTAGGAGGCTTACTTTGACATTGTTAAACATCTTTTTTACTATAAGAAGCCACTGTAAAACACAATTATTGGGGGAGTTTAGAAGCTCAAATACACATAGAAGACAAAGTTTGTTAGGGAAACTCTTCCAGAGGGAGTAGGGTCATTCTTTCCTAAAGTGGGGAAACTCCTGCTGCCAGTCCAAGGCCCGATTCCATATCCACCATCCCCACCTCCCAATGTGAAGCAGAATCATTTTCCTGCTGAGACCTGGGACACTCTTTGGCTTCTGATGGAAACTACTCTCCTCTCAGCCAGATCAACTCTGCCACCTTCTGTGGAGATAATCCATGGTAGGTCCCCTAACTTTTCTGACCAGTGGACACATTGCCTGCTTGAGCATCCATTCGCCACAGCCACCCTTCCTTTCCAGGGTGTATTCCTGAGGGCTGGGACTGGCCTACTGAGCCTCATGTATATTGAGCCCTGCCTCTGCCTTTGGCCCACTCCACAAAGCTAAGAGAAGCTGGCTCTGGCCCTAGAGAGTAAGGACTACATATGTAGTCCAAGAGGCCACACTGCACCCTTCATCCTATTTCAGAAAAGCCACTCACTCCTGCACCCTGCGTCCTAGGCAAACTCAGGATCTCCCTGGGAAGCTTAGAGAGGTGGTGATCTGGCCCTCTCAGTGGCTAGCTACCCGCTGGCGGGCAGTATTTCTGGCGCCTACTAAGCTGGAAGAGGAGGTCGGGGGCGGGACAACCGGTGGGGCTGCCCTCCCGCAGTGACGTCCCCGGGGGCGGAGGGGTGATCAACTGACTCTGAGCCCTCCCTGCCTCTCCCAGAGCCAGGTCCGTCGGTCCTCGGGAAATGCTACTACCACGATTGCAATTGTCGCGCACGCCTTCGCCAGTCAGACTGCTCTACCACTGTTGGGCCCGGGTCCGAAGACGCATCACCCAGAGTGGAAACATGCAGCCAGGAGTGGCTCTGCAGGCTGTGCTGCTGGCGGTGCTGCTGGCGGGGCCACGGGGCGTGAAAAGTCGCCTTCTGAGCGGTGAGTGCGTGCGCTGGGGCGAGAGCTCTTGCCGGGACAGTCCGCACCCCAGCAGTCCGCACCGGGTGGGGAGGGAGGCGTTCCCCGCTACACTCCCCGGCCCAGCCTTCGGAACCTCCTGCTTCCAGAGAGCAATTTCTCGGCAGCTGGGATCGGGACCGGTTCCTGGGGCCATTCAGAGTCCTGGAATGCTGGAAGTCCATTCCCCGCCGAGGGTTACCCTAATGGGTCTGAGAACTAGGTTGGGTGGGGCAGTGGGCGAACCCGCTCAGCGGGTGCCCCTCCAGCTCAGCCAGCTCGGTAGAACACGGCTCTATAGTTCCTAAGAACCCCACACGGAGCAGGCTCACCAACCCCCTTTACCTCCCACTCGAGAAGTCCACCACGCAGACGGCGGGGTGGAGATCCTGGATCCGCGGTGCTGTGGGAACCTTGCCAGTTATTCCTGGTCTCCTCTGTGGGGAGGATGGCAGGCTCCAGCAGCTGGAATAGGAGCGCTTAGAGATGGGGAAAGCTGCTTAGTTAGCGTGGGACCAGCCCCGTCTGGCTCTGGGGAATGACTCTCTGTCTGCTTCCTTCCTTGTGTCGTGTCACGGCAGCCTCGGATTCGGACCCCAGAGGAGGTACAGTGCTCTGCTTTTTGCCTCTTCCAGTTGTTCTGCGTGTGGCGGGAGGGGAGAGGGCGAATACTGGTGCCCTTTTTCTCCTGTGCTGGGCGTCGACGGCTTGGCCAAGAGGAGGGAGGAGGAAGAATGGCAACCTCTTCCTCGGGGGTATCCCAGTTTGTGGAACTGATTTAGCCCTCTAGGGTTGATTTCAAGATGGGGTGTAGTGCGGGGCAGTAAATGGGGAGAGTAACTGAGTTGAGCTGCTTGGGTTAGGGCTGCAGGAGCTCAGTAGTTGATAGTGGTGGGTAGAAGGCCCGCCTACTCTTCCCCTTCCTGCAAATGAGAAAAGAAAGACACTTCCTGAAGGCAGGGGAACCAGATGGGCCCTCCGCCTCTTTCCAGCTCTGGCTCTCTCTGGCACTCACTGCAGGATTGGGATGTGTGGCCAGGCTGGACCATACAGGAAATTCGATTAAGGTGTTACATTTTCTCTTGACAATCTAGCATGGAAAAATGAGGGCTGCCAGTAAATTCAACTCCAATTTACAGTTATGCTGGTGGCAAGTTTGGGGGTGTTCCTAGTGGCTCATTTGCCTTCCATTTGCTGCCTGATTTGGAGCCCCCTTTAAGGAATCATAGAGGCTTGGCTGGCCCAGCCTTCTTTCCAGGCAATCTGGCTGCTGTCACTGCCTCTCTGAAACACCTGCTTGGTGAAAACATCAATGTCAAAGAGCCCTTTTAATTTGCTGGTGGACCCGTCTAGTGAGAGCTTCTCTATTTAGCAGCAATAACCAAAAAAAAAAAAAAAGAAGAAGAAGAAGAAGAAAAAGGAGGAGGAGGAGGAGGAGGAGGAGGAGGAGGAAGGAAGGAAGGAAGGAAAAGGGGAAAAGTGCAAGACTCTTCTAACTTGTTGCTTTTTGAGAATTTCTTTATAAAAGCAATGAGAGGAGAAACAGAAAACAAAAATTCACTGCAGCTTTCTGAATCATCTTTATGTGCTCTTTTCCATTTAGCACTAATAATGTAGTTAACTGTCTGCAGCCTTTGCCCTGCATTCTGGACAGTATTAGGAATAATGAAAGCTATCTGGCTCCCTGCAGCACTGCAAAACAAGTTGGGGAAACAAGAGCATTCCAGAAGGTCTGGGAAGAGGTCCTCAAATAAAATCCTTTACCCCTACTCTGTGGTAGCAATTCATCATACCCACAGCCCACAATTTGGCTCTGTCATTGCAGGGACTACTCTCTTTGTTGAAATGTGGTTTTCATTTTGTATAATTTAGATCCAGAGACATAAGCCATGTTCTCCCCTGGGCTAGGAATTGGCATTTGTTTCTGTATTTCCAGCACCTAGAACAGTGCTAGGCGAAAGGTACACTCAATACATGTTGATTGAACAAAGGAGGATGAATTAAAGAAAAAAAAAGACAAAAAATTTTAAAACAAACAAATGAGTAATGAAGCTGAGGTTTAGCTGCTGCAGCAAGGCTTCAATCACCCAGACACAAGGAAGGGCAATGTGTGCTGAGGAACAATTTGCTACTTGCTTCTCAGTAGAATTCCATCCATTTATCTGAAAGAGTCTTTAGCCCTTCAGTGTCAGTCATATGAGACACACTAGTAGACTCCCAAAACAACCCAAGCCCGGGGTGGAGTGGGGAGTGAGCAGTCTAGTTGAGAGGTACTGGCTTGACTTTGTAATCAGATCTGGGTCCTGACTTGGACAATACTGATGATAAGCTATGTGACCTTAATCAGATTACTCAATTTCTCTGAGCCTCAATTTTCTCATTTGTAAAATGGCACATAAACAACATCTACATCAGGGTACTGTTATGAGGGTTAAATGAGATAAAGTCTATATATAAATGTAAAGCCCTTAACACAGTTAATGGCACACAGGAAAAGTTCAGTAAATCTTAGCTATTGTCTTTAGGTCAGGGGACTGTCAGTAATGGAAAACCCCACGGATATCATGTACTTAGCTTCAGCCCACATCAGAGACCGAGCAAATTAGTTCTGCTGCTCATAGGCAGAAGGTTTCAGGGTAGAGGAGTCCATGTCTGACTTCAGAACAACTCTCTTACCTGAAGGAATCACTCAACAGAGATACTCACTTTACACACTCTCCCCTGAGATTGCCTAAAAACATAAAATTGTTATTTATAATTCTTAAGCCATAAATCTTCATCAACTTCCCTTAAAAGATAAAAATGTCTGCTTTTCAAGAATCTATAACTGAGCAAACAAAACATGTGTCCCTGCATAATCTGAGCATCAGAGTTTAAATCACCCCAACTCCATGTTGGAAGCAGTATTAATTTTCTCTAAGAACTCTGACATAACCTTCTGGTGATAAGTAATCATAATTCTGTCCAGAAGTAGCTCCATTCTGATGCCTCTGAGCCTCCTTGCTCTTGTATACATTTCTGGTACACTGAAACAGGTTGCCTTCTTTTATCTCTAGGGCAGCTGGTTTGCCGGGGAGGGACACAGAGGCCTTGTTATAAAGTCATTTATCTCCATGATGCTTCTAGAAGACTGAACTTTGAGGAAGCCAAAGAAGCCTGCAGGAGGGATGGGGGCCACCTAGTCAGCATCGAATCTGGAGATGAGCAGAGATTGATAGAAAAGTTCATTGAAAACCTCTCAGCATCTGATGGTGATTTCTGGATTGGACTCAGAAGGCATGAAGAGAAGAGAAGCAACAGCACAGCCTGCCAAGACCTTTATGCTTGGACTGATGGCAGCATGTCAAAATTTAGGTAAGTATGTGGAGCTGACTTCTTTGACATAACTCAGAAAAGAGACAGGCTGGATCCACAGTGCCAGATCCTTGGGGAAGTGGAGGAGACCCAGCCAGACAGAGGCCTGGGGGTAGTAACACCTGAAGAGCCATTGACCAGGACAGTGTGGTGAAAGTGGTGAATTTAGCCTTGACTTGCGCCCCATGGATGTCCAAAGAGTTCTACTCAGGTGGGCGAGCCCATCAGCATTATGTCAAGAACACATGATGCTTAAAGTCTTCACCCTGTCCTTAATATGTAACAGCAAACCTAACCTTCTCCTGATGATTAGGGTCAACTATCCCTTGAAGTCAGTCTGTCCTTTTGGCTAGATATCTGGCTATAGCTAGAATCCCCATTAAGAGACTGAAGATCCATAGAGTTGAAATCAGAATAGGACTGTGGACTACACAGAACTATGATAATGGTCAGAAAATCAGAACCAAGACCTAACTCTACAGATTGGCCAAGAGTGGAACTTTGGGAAGACTGCAGTTTATAGGACCCTCCTAAATCCTCAGCATCGAGACACTGATGCTCTCATACACCCCACCAAGACACTATGACATTGCCATCATCCCTCCCTATAAATGCAGTGACATTGTTAAAAATTTTAAAAACATCAAAATTCAGAGACAGACATAGGACTGTAAAATTTCTAACAGAATTAATATATTTTCATGATAGTTTATATAAGTAGTAAACACTAAGGCCCCAAAGGATAGAGAAGCAAAAGACCTGAGCAGATAGTTCACAAAATAGAAAATCTAATTGGTGTACAATCATATAAGAAAAAAGTTTAAAGTCATTATTAATTGAAGGTAAAGATTAAAAAATTACCTGTTACATTTAAAACAGTATGTAGGTAGCATCCATCACAACTCAACTCTTTATGCTAGTCATGTTCCTGAACTTCATATAAGTTCTGAGAGTAGCTCCTCCAATAGCATTATGGACTTCTCTTCCTAAAAGATGATGGTTAGTAGGAAGAGTAGAAGGTTATTACTCTTCACATCACTGTAGCTGGTCCCAAGGTCATGACTGACTTATCAATCTCCCTCCTCTGCTATCCAGTCCAGATTCCCCCACCCTCTGCTGCTGTCAATAACTGACCTTGTGGCATGACCCAAATCCTCATCTCTGAATAGTGTTAGGCCCTAGTTACCTTGAACTTCTCAGGGTGAAGTTAACAGACTTTTCCATTGGCCATCAAAATTGGGCAAGTAAGTACAAAAAGATACCCAAGTAGATAACCTAAGAGTCTTCACCCTGTCCATAATATATAATAGCAAACCTACCTCCTCCTGATGATTAGAGTCAACTACCTCCTGCCAAGAGAATGACATCACTTCTTGCCTGCTTGTTCCTATACACAAGGACCCCAAATGTCCAAGTGGCAACCAGTGACTCATAGCTCAATGAGACTTACTCTGTCTTCTAGAATAACTATTCCCCTCTGGAAACTAAGAATCTCTAAACTCCCAAAGCCCAGCATTGCAGAGACAAGAAGTACAAATTCCCTGAGTGAGCCATTATCAATGATGGAACTCCTGCTTTCTTCCCTTGGCTCCCAGACCCATGTATTCTACTAGTGGAGGCACAGAAGTTTATAAATCATTGATTTAACGTGTACTTCTTTTTGGATGATGCCCTGCCCCCAAAGTATTGCCTCTAAGCTGATACTTAAACTAAGTTTTCAACAAGCTATTCTCCATCACTCTGTCAAGCTAGCAGCTTCAAGATGGTGCAATATGTGATCTGACAAGTGACTCCCATAGCCAGGTACTTACTTCCACACCTTCTTTGCTATAAAGTAGGTGCCTTTGTCTGATGAGATGTTGTTTGGGATCCTGTTTTGATAGATTAAATATTATATACACCTTTGAATAGTGGTACTGACTAAGGTTCTTGGGCAGAAAAGGCAAACTCATGCCTAGATTGTGTGTCTGTTCCTACCAAAATGAATCATTGTCCCTTTTAGGGATCCAATGTAGTAAACTTGCCACCAGGAGACATGTTGATCACCTCAAGTATTGATGCTATGACAGAGACACAGCATTGTCCTCTGTTGCTGGAAGGCTGGACATTTGGCAGTAGTAGTAGTCAGATCAGTCTTGATTAGTGGGATCCAATCTGTAGAATCCGTGCATAGCCTCCATTCTGCCTCCTTTGTTACTATATTTGCATATCTAGTGTGCTAGTACTAGGGTGACTGATAACCAGCTGGCTGGCATTACCTGAATGAGTCATTTGTCTCCTTGGCTGTTCAGTGCCTCTTACATGAGAGATGCTCCCTGGTATGCTTTCATGTGTGATAAAAAATTATCATATTTTATGCCCAGTGATATGGATCATTCTACTCAAGAAGTCCTTGTCCCCAGTCTTCCAGTCTTTTTCCCTTTAGATTCTTATCAGCTCACCATGCTGTTTGCTTTTCCCCTGAGTCTTTATGTATTCTAATCTTCCATAACTTCTATTTCCATACAAAGGGGTTAACTAGGTGCATGAACTAAAGCAATGTCCAGTGAGAGAGTGTCCCCCTAGCACACTGTCTTTCTAGGCCACCTCCAAGTGGAGCTGCAGTTCAGCTGCTGTCCATTTTGGCTTCTTCACTCATACTTAACTGACCTTCATGAACCAAGCTCAGGCTGCCTGTATCAGCTAGCCATAAGGAACTTCTCATGCACCATAAGTGTGAGCTGAGGCAGAGGCTTTGGAACAACAGTGGTAGATATCATGGCAGTCTGCTCTAACTATTCATATAGCACCCCTTTGGTCATAGATATACCTCTTCCACCTTATAACGGATTGATTCTAGCCTACCTGAGTTGTGATAAGATGTGTCTGATAATACCTAGCTCATAATGAGCAGGTCAGGCTGCATGGTCTCTTGGTTGGTGGTCCTTGCTTAGTAAAAAAAAAAAAAAAGTAGAAGTTGCTTTTCAAAAGGTGACTAGTTCTTGGCTACAGATGATATGACTTTGCTATAAAACCCTAGGAATCTGCAATGTGATTCTGTCATTGGGGTTGTCATGAATTCTATATGGGAATATGTTTCCCACCACTGGTATTTCAGTACACCTCAAATTCCAGTACTCCTCAAAGCAGTGCTCCTGGGTGTAAAATATGCTGCCTCTGGAACCCAAAGAGGCCTGCTAAGTATAAAATTTACTTCCTAAAATTATTAATAGTTTGCTCTTTTATTTGAAAGGTATGCTCTGGCATTGTCTAGATCACTAGATCCCTACACATTTTAATAAAGTGGCAAGTTCCTGAATATTCATTCACAGGGTTTATCTCTAACCCTCTGGAGAACATGAGTCTTAATAAGACCTCTAGTATAATACGTACTTCTTACTCATCTGGTCCAACTGGCATAATGTCAGCAATAAAGTGAACCAGTGTGATTTTCTGTAAGATTTCTAGGAAGTTCAGGCCTCTTCATACCATATTACAACAGAGGGTAGGAAAAATCAATGCAGCCTCAGTCAAGACCATACAGGTATACTATTGTCCATTGCCAATAAGCACAAACCATTCCAGATTCTTTCTGATCCAGATGGAAAAGAATGTGTTCACCAGATCTGCATATTAAGTACTGAATTGCATATCAGCCTGCTCTAGCAAAGATATCACCTATGGCACAGCAGATAAAATCAGGGTTTCACCTTGATTGAGTTTGTGCTATCATTGTGTTAGTCAGCTTTTCATTGCTATGACCAAAATACTGACAAGAACAACGTAGAGGAGGAAAAGTTTATTTGCCTTACAGTTTTAGAGATCTTCCTGATTTTTGCATGAGTCAGAGTAGTAAATTAAATACGGATATGATGAGGAACATCACACTGCATTCTCTAGGTCTTTAAGGAGGGCACCATTTTCTGCCATCTTCCCTGGATTAAAGATATGGTTGTTGGTTTAGTAACTTGGGAGGGGGTGGGAAGGAGTGCAGTTTCAAAGGCTTCTACTTGATCTGCTCCACTATAGTAGCCTAAGGAACCAACATGGAACTATACCAACTACCAACATGTCTATTCAATTCATATATGTGGGGACCCGGACAATGACTATGGGCTGGGTCCTTCTGTGAGCTGACCTCTATTAATACCTGGTCCCAATATGTTCCCACTCCAAATGGGTAATAGCACTTCAAGTCTGAATAGCAGTGTCAACTTATACCTTGTGTCAAACAGTTCTTTGTAATATTTGGATATACTCCCCTCTCCCAGCATATGGTTACTTAAGTAAATGGCCAGAGGTTCCTTTGGGGAAAGAACAGGGGAAATTATTATCACATGTGCCTGCCATGGTACTTCAGAGTCCTTCTTCCTGGAAACCTGACCTTTCCCTCTATCAGTTAGTATGAGTCTGAAAACTGACTCAAATCCAAAAATTACATTCAGCCATAATGTTCTATATCTCCCTGAGATGAAATAATGTAAAGGCTAGTAGGGAGTGTCAAGGGGTTTGGAAAAGAGGATGGAGGTAACTAATGAGGCACAAAGCCTAGCTCCTGACAGGGGCCCCAGCTGTCCACATAATGTCTAAGGAGTGCTTACTGCAAGCTTATCTATTGTTCAGGAAATTCAAGTAGAGCAAAAGGACCTTCCTTCCTTCCTTCCTTCCTTCCTTCCTTCCTTCCTTCCTTCCTTCCTTCTCTTAGCTGTCTCTTTATTCAGGAGGGACTCTGACAAGAGCCAAGCAGAGCAGCAGTGTCTGGCTAAATAGTCTGAGCATCAGGACAAGAACCCAGCCCTGAAGGGAAGCAGCTCAGGTGGGTGATCAGGCAGACTACAAAGCCCATCCCTGAGTTAATATCTGAGATAGGTGCTTCAGATTTAGACTCTCAATGAGATCCAAGTCTTTAACCTGGCACCCACATAACCAACTGGGTGGCAGCACCATTTAATTCCAGGTTTTACTGGGTAACTGCTAATGCACCCCTTCAGAGGTCTAGGAAGGCAAAGAGAAAACATCTGGTAGTGGAGGCTGAAAGGCTTACAAGCCTGATCACATGGAAATGATGTAAAAACTGAAAAAGACCAAATGGTCCTTCTTCCCATGTGTCTACCCCTTACCTTACTTAACAGCCTCTATATTTTGGAGGGTCATACAGTGATGGCTAATGAAAAGCAAAAAAAGATGGAAACAGAGCAAGTTTTGGATGAGACATATTATGCCTCTTCTCAATGTGTATGATCTCTTTAAAAAGGGAAACAAAACGAAAAGCAAAAAGCAGAAAAGAAATGAGCAGCCCTGCTAGCTGCCTTTTCTCATAATTCCTTTGCAGACATCATATGGTAATAGATTCCTCCGTGCAAAGAGGTTGTGACAAATGTCAGATGATTGATTGTGGTGTCCATATTAGAAAGTATGTGGCTCTGTTTATTGGCAGTGCTTCAATCCCTCCTCTCTGTGTATTATGTTCTTAAGCCAAGTATCATGTAAGTGTCCCAGTGGAACCTGATGGGAAAACAAAGGCTTGGAAGTCTTGGGGTATGTTTCTCCACTTGCCTCTATTGTTTATTCCTTTCCTACAGGAACTGGTATGTGGATGAGCCTTCCTGTGGTAGTGAAGTCTGTGTAGTCATGTACCATCAGCCTTCAGCACCTGCTGGCATTGGGGGCCCCTACAAGTTCCAGTGGAATGATGACCGATGCAACATGAAGAACAACTTTATTTGCAAATATTTTGATGGTAATGAATTCTCTCCCAAGCTGAATTCTCAACCTCCTCTCTTATTTCATAAGCAGCTTCTCATACCAAGAATTTGGTATGTGGTCACTAAGAATGCTTATCACAAATGCCAGCAATGATAAACTTCAGGAATTCTTGTAAAGAGATATGTAATGATACTTCCTCACTGAGTAATAATTATAGGAAAGGAAAGATTATCAGATGCTAAGAGAATGGATGAAAAGAAGAAAGAATATATTTCATGTGTGATAAAGCAAGATTTATGAGAACATCTAGAAAGAAAAAAGTTCTCTCTCTGGACAAACAAAAATTCTTACTCATTCTACATGCACAGTTAGCTGTAGGAGCTTGGAATAAGCTGACTATTGCTCCTACAAGTCTTCCAACAGCTATGTGAGATATTTTCTCAGAATTTAAAGAAACACACTAATAACCAGAGGAGGCAGAAGATAAAACACACCAATTTTACTGGCACCAGGAAAAAATAGCAGGCACATTGATGATCAAGTTTAAACTCCCCAGGCTACCTACTGTCTATATGTCTTGCAACCTTAACTTGCATTTGCTTCTAGATCTTTAAGAGTTGCAAATTGGCTATAAATCCAGTCTCACCCTGCTGAGGTTTCCCAGACTCTTTTATTAAAACTGACATAGATCTAAACTTGAACTGATTCTTGATCTATCCCTGAAGTTTCTCACCTCCCTGAAGCCAAATTCTTGGCCCCAGTTCTGCATTATTTCCTGACAGGGGTAGAGTGACTTGTTAGTTATATCTAGTTTGGGACTAAGAATCCTGTCATTTAAAATTTTTTAAATTGGACTATGCTCCGGGGGTAACTTTTGCTACTAAAAGATATTTTTCCTTCTTTTTTTTTAAAGAGAGAGGAGAGAGAGAGAGAGAGAGAGAGAGAGAGAGATTTTTAATATTTATTTTTTAGTTCTCGGCAGACACAACATCTTTGTTTGTATGTGGTGCTGAGGATCGAACCCGGGCCGCACGCATGCCGGGCGAGCGCACTACCGCTTGAGCCATATCCCCAGCCCCAAAAGATATTTTTCCTTCTTCATCTCTGAGACAAATTCTTTTATATAGTGACCATACCAAGATTCTCCCTACCATACCAAGTTGTCTCAGGCTGGGAGGTTTTAAAGAACTAGACTGGCTTATCAGGTCACCTTCATAGATCAGTGAAAGGAAAACACTTATTACAAACTGGCTTTCCATTACTCCTATTAATTATATTATATTAACTCCATGGCTAAACATTTTTACTTTTTAAACATTTTTTGAAATGTGAGATTTTGAAAATTGCTTTAATATTCTTTTATTTTTTAGCTTGGTTCCTTTCTAAAAAGAAATCATATTCATCATTACTTTTGCTATTGCTCATATTAGTTAGACCGAGTTCTGTCCAGAAAAATATGGCATACACAAAGATTTTACTAGGAGAATAAAGTAAAAAGGATATTTGCAGAAGTGGTAAGCAAAGAGCAGGAGATGGTAAAGTACCCAGAGACTAACTACAATGGGAAGCTCTTACCACCCCTAGGCCTAAAAGGGCAAAGGGAGAGAATCTTTTAACAGAATCCAGAAAAGGCTTGAGGTCATAAAAAAAGAATCCCCTCAACAGAAATGGTAACCACAAAATACAATTACTGTAAAATTATGCTGATAAGCAAGGGACCATGAAGAATAAATACTGTGACCTCTCTCTCCTACCTTCTGATCTCCTGCTTTGCCTCCCACTGGCTAAGTCTAATAAGAAACCAAAGGATTCCCAGTGAAACAGTCCATAGAGATCAGCCCAGATCAGAATGAATCCAATAGTGGGAGATAGGCACATGGCAAAGAACTAACACATTGCCTTTATGTGGCCTCTCATCCTCAGCATAAGTTCATATTATTCAGCATGCTGAAATAAGGGTGGACAAGATCAGTCTCAGTTCTCACCATTCTAACACCTCTCCCCATCCTATCCTAATGCCTTTCTGCTAGTTTAGTTCCCCAAGAGACTTAACTGTTGTTTCCTGTGTGTAGAACACATTTTCCCTCTCTCTTTCAACTTGTTTTCACCTTTCATGTTCAGATTAAGCAGCAGTGTCTGGCTAAATAGTCTGAGCATCAGGGCAAGAATCCAGATGCTCAGACTATTTAGAACTTACTAAACAACTAAGTAACACAAGTCATAACAACAAAGTAAAACAAGTGATACGGGATTGGATTACAGACCATGATGATAATGATGATGATGGTGACAGTGATGATGACAATTTTATATAAATGACAATATTAGGACAATTGGCAGAATGTGCATATGATTAGATAACAGTATTATATCAATGTTGCTTTCTTGGTTTTGATCAATGGATTGTGATATAGTATAAAAGAATGCCTCTCTCCCTTTTAAATATAAATTGAAGTTGTTAAGAGTAGAGGGATACCATGTCTGAAACTTTCTTTTTGGAAAAAAGTTACATATGTGTATATATATAAATATGTGTATATTATAAATTCAGCATCTATGTATATATAGATATAAGCACATAGAGATAGGTAGATGATTGATACAGATAATAATTAAGCAAATGAAATATAATAAAATAATAAGGTGAAGGATATATGAGAATTCCTTGTGCTATTCTTACAAATTTTCATAAATCTGAAATTATTTCAAAATAATTTCCTTGGAGAAGCTTTCCAGGACCCCTCAAGGTTAGGTGATCCTCCTGTGAGAACCAGAAGCACCTCATACACAGTACTTTCACTTCCCGTTTCCAGGTTTGTCCCTTTCACTATATGCTTACAAGAAGTCTGGAAACATACTTGTCTAGCCAACTGATGAAGTAGGGGAAGATCACTTCTGTGGTTCCCAAAAGATGACATTCTGTCCTATCATGCCACAGTATCAAGAGACTGGGTCAGTTATCATCTCTAAAACTAGGGTTGAGAATGTGGCCATATGGCATGCAAGCCAGACCTGAATATTTGACTACTCCAGGAATACGGTAAAGGCACAGGGATATTCAGGGAAAACTAGAGAGAAACCATTCAAGGTATGGCAGATGCACTACTCAGATGTATGGCAGATGCATGGCATCGAGGTGCCATGTTTACTGCAATTTTGCACAGTAGACTGAATTATGGAGGAACAACAATACGAATAGATCATTAAATGTCACTGAATATACTATGTATTTCAATGTAATATCATGAAATTAACATGGATTAATATTCTCCTATATGTCCATATTTTATGGCCATCTTGTCAAATATAAGCTCCTTAGAGGGCCAGGATTATTTCTCATTTGCTGTTGCATGGCATAGTTATATCTCCTTACTATTTTAACTTTTATTTGAATTTATTAATTTTTATTTGAATTGGTTGAAATTCCAGTTTAGCAACTTACTGATTATGAAATTTGGGCAAGTTATTTAATCTCCCTGACTTTTGGTTTCCTCATGTAGAAAAACCAAAAACCTGACTCCCTCGTCAGGTCATTATCGAGATTGAGCTTGTTCTTATAAAACATTTAGAATAGTTTCTATCATTTGTAGGCATTATATAAGTGAGTTTTAAAATAAATATATTTGCTTCACCTCTACGTACACACACTTATAGGAAGATGATTAAAAACTTCTGTCCTTTCTGAATGAAACTTCAGAATAAGCTTGCCATCTGAGCCTTAGGAATGTGAATTCTAAAGTTTTGCCCCTAAGAACCCTGTCACTATCAACTCCAGGGCATCTAAATAGCATAAGTGACTCATTGTCAATACAACAGTTCAGTCAGAAGCCAAAACATTTGACATAGGTTGTCTGTGCAACCTCACTTTCCCGAAGCTCTTGGAACTATTTAAAATAATTCAAGGCCAATCACCAGTTTTTGATTTGGGGCTAGCCAGTCCCTCGACCACTTTTATTGCTTGGAAATCAGTGCTTGTTGCTCTCTGAAACATCTGCAGTATGAGTTGCTAAAATGTCTTGGATTGCTGTAAAATAATTCAGGAGTGTAAGTGTGGAAGTAGGGCTTTCTGTTGAAATCAGATGAGCTATACATTGATAGAAGCAGGAGCTACATCACAGCACACAGGGATTCATCATACAGACTTTCTACTTTGGTGTATATTTAAAAATTCTCATATTTAAAGTATTTGAATAGTTTTCTTTTTTAAGAAAAAACACCTAAGTAAAGCTGGGGGAAGGCTAGTCTTTATGCAGAAGCAATTCTTTTGATTTAATGAACCTAGTCCTGGTATCTGATAACAGAAAATAATCTGATTACAATAAAGTTTATTGGAAATGGTTGCTATTCTCTAGCTGATTTTATTCAGATGGCAGGAAAATTTTGTTATTATTTTCATTTTTATTTCTGCAGAGAAACCAACAGCTCCTTCCACAAGACCTGGAGGTAAGGCTGTCATTTGAGATTTGAGTTAACTCAGCCCCTCTTCATTAAGTTAGAATCAGTTCTTTAGACCAGATTATTCGACAGAAGATGATGGTGTTAACCCAGACAATTTGGATGCACCACATCCAGCTATGATGAGTCCATTATTCTCACTCTTTGGTATTGTCTCTTTCAAAACTGAAGAACAACAGTAGCAAATTCAGTTTGGGATATTATTTATTATTATTGACAATAGGAAGGGAATTATTTAATTTAATGAGACAAGAAATGAGCCAAACAGAATGGTCCTAGCAGAGAGTCACTGGCCCTTCCCTTCGGCACCTCACTCCTCCATGTGGCTATTAAGCCAGCTGCCTGTCACTTGTTTTACTGCCTGACCCTCACCTAACGACAGTAAAATTCATATCTTTACTTTCCTATGTATACAAGTGTCGATGGCCAGGTTGCTACTGCTATTTAGCATCTCACTTTACACATGGTAGGACCTCAGAGAATATCTGCATTAAAGTTCCTTTTTCCAAGTTCTCAAGTCCATGTGTCTCTCTCCAGGTGAAAGAACAGAGCCAGCAACACCCACAATTCCAGAGGAAACACAGAAAGAAGATGCCAAAGAAACATTTAAAGAAAGTAAAGGTATGTACAGAGTTCACTTGGGGAAAACAGACAATGAGACTCTCTTGATTGCTTTACTATATGTTTATATTCCCTATTTTGTTCTTTCCCACAGCTCCTTAAAAATGGAATTAGACCGTTATCTGTGACTTTGCCAAAACTGTATTTAAGGTTAGGTTTCATCAGTGAAATATGCAAATAGAGCTATCATAAGACAATTGAGGAGATCAGACTAGTCAGGAAGTAAAAGACCTGCAGGAAGACAAAGCCCCTTGGTCTTAGGCTAGAGGTGGGATAGAGCTGGGACTGAGAGAATGGATGCAGAGACAGAAGAGCGGAAAGACCTGTACCACAATGCATAACACCTGTGATTAATAGCCATCTGTGAAATAGAGGAAATGGACCAAAACATTTAAAAAGATCATAAAAGGTAAAAGAAAATGGAGTGATAAATTGGAGTGCTAATGGACTTTCAACCTCACCCTCACACTGAGTTTCAGGAAGGAAATCTGGGGTTTTGTTACTGGGCAACTTTAAAAAAACACTTAAGTTCTCTGTGCTTCAGTTTAATCATCTGCATAATAGAAGTAATAATATTTTTCTTAGCTACCTGGGAACATTACTGTGTCCATAAAATGAAATAGAATGTTGCAGTTCTGACACTAACCACAAGAGTTGGCACAGACTCCCCACCCCCCATAGCTTAAAGGCACAGTCCATAACTGCCCTCACTTCAAACATTACCCACAAGTTTAGGAATCCTCAGGTCACATCTCTTCTGACCAATTGGCTACAATTCCAGGAGTGCCTACAACCCTCTCTCAAGTTCAAAAATTCATTAAGACAACTCACAGAACTCAGGAAAACACTGTACATACTTAGGCATTTTATTACATAGGATACAGCCAAAGAAAAGAACATGGGGTGAGGTCTAAAGGAGTTCTAATTGGGCCCTTCCATGTTCTCTCCCAGTGGAATCAGAATGTATCATCCTCCTCCTGGCATACTGATGTGTACAGGAAGCTCCACTTATCTTTGGTGTCCAGGGGGTTTACAGGAGTTTCATTGATTACTTAGGTGGGGTAGATCTTATCACCAGTCATGTGGTATAACTCAGTCTCCAAAGGAGGTCAGGCTGATGTCATCAGGCTCAGAGCCCCCACCCAAAAATCACTTGTTCAGTTTTCTTGTGTGGCCAGCCCCCCACAAACACAGGCCACCACTGTCTTGGACAGGTCCTTACAATAAACTCTAGTACCATCCAAGATGCTCATGAATAACAAAGTCAATTCTATTACTTGGGAAATTCAAGTATTTAGACCCTCCTTCCCAGGAACCAGGGGCAATTTTTTTATGATACAACAAACGTAATATGTGCTAGAAAAAAAATAAAATGCTATGCAAAGGTGTGTGGCATTTTTATTGCTCTTTGATATTATAGTGGTACTTAAAGAGGATTTTTGGAGTATTTTGGTTTTGGTTTTTGATGGTTGTCAGGTTTGCAGCTTCACAGGGGAAAAAAAAAAAAAAAACAGTAATAGCCACTGGATGGCTGGAATCTTAGATCAGTGGGAACAGGAAGGGAGTTAGTCTAAAATTCTTGCTTCCTCCCAAAACCTTATTGTTGGTTCTAAGTCTTAAAGGACTAAAAGATACAGAAAAGAAGACCTCTAAGAGAATTTCATAGTCACTGCTCATGAACCCAACTGAAGCCAGTTGGTCTTAGTTAGAAATGTTGGGAAGCATTTAAGTCTAATTTGTGTGCTCTGTGAACTTCTGTTTCGCAATAATGACCCCAGAACTTTTGACTGGGTTCTTCTTTGCTTCCTCTCCCCAACCCCTACACTGGGAACTACCATGGCTGCTCTCAGAGGCCAAGGCATCAATACTGCACCAATAGTCTCTGCTTTGCTACGAAGGACAAGGGAAGAAAGAATATCTTTTCTCCAAAAAATAATCTCTTTGAATTATAAAAAGTACCCTTTTGGTATTTGCAAGACTCAAAAAATTAAAATTATTTTCATTATTATTACTTAGGGTAAAAAGACAGGTAGAAAATATTTAATGAGGGGCTGGGGATGTGGCTCAAGCGGTAGCACGCTCACCTGGCATGCGTGCAGCCCGGGTTCAATCCTTGTCACCACATACAAACAAAGATGTGTGTCTGCTGAAAACTAAAAAATAAATATTAAAAAAATTCTCTCTCTCTCTCTCTCTTTAAAAAAAAGGAAATATTTAATGAAACTAGAAGATGCTTTACTAACTGGGTAATTCTACATCTACCTCCTAGGAATGTGCTCTCTGGAATACCCTGTATTTGGTTATGCCTTTTTAAAAAATTTTTAAAATATATTTGTTAGTTGTCAATAGATACAATACCTTTATTTTATTTATTTTTATGTGGTGCTGAGGATCGAACCCAGTGCCTCATACATGCTAGGCAAGCACTCTACCACTGAGCCACAACCCCAGCCCCTTGATGATACCTTTTGAAGCCAGGTTTGAAGCACACATACATGCCAAAAAAAAAAAAAATCACCAATGCTGATAGTGTGCTATTTTTCTTTTCAGAAGCTTCCTTGAATCTTGCCTACATCCTAATCCCCAGCATTCCCCTTCTCCTCCTCCTTGTGGTCACCACAGTCATATGTTGGGTTTGGATCTACAGAAGGAGGCAAGTAAAACCTTCTTTATGTAAACCTTTGTGGCCTCTGCCTTTGCGAATATTTGGATATTGCCCTGTTTACTTCATTAAAAGTCACAGAAGCCCCAAGAGAATGGCCACTGTAGATTGGAGAGTAAATTATCTGGCAGGCTCAGAGTATTCAGAGATTAAGAGAGTGATATTATATTCTTTATTTTGGGGTATGTGGAAGATTTTAAACAATTTGAAAAGTGAAACTATGTTATTCACTTCCTGTGTACCCACATATCACCCAGCAAAAGTGCTCTCACAAATATAGGTCCTGGTTCCAAAAGTGTGTTGAATAAGGAATGACTGGTAGGCCATGTGAAGAATGACTGTTCCAAAGCATTCTGGTAAGCCTCTGAAACAGAGCCACTTCATTCAGAATGAAAGAGCCAAATTCCTTTTAACTGACTTTTAAAAAATTGATTGCATAGGAGTAGATTGGTTCAAAACACTAGATGGTATAGACAACCTATTTTGCAGGCACGATCAGTGTCCCTATTTTTTAGGCACACAGAATTGTTCTCAGTTACCTTTTCATTCCCCAGGATCATGGTATTCATAGAAGGCTAGTATTCCCATTTACGATAGAAAAAGGTTCAATTTAAGTTTTGGCTTCCTTTGATGACCAATCTGAAACTAATTAGTAAGATTCTGATGTACAACTTTTCAACTTCCTTAAGGGATTATTACAAGCATCAAAGCAATGAATACATGCAGAGTGGGCATCTGATAAGTACTCAAAAATGTCACCCATTATTCTGATCGTTTTTATCTAAAAGTAGAATTCAGTTCAAAAATTACAAATATATTTTTCAACTGTTTACTCTGCAGTTGATTCTTCATTTCCCTTCTTTATCTATTTAGCACCTCGCCAGGATTTGGGAATAGTAACTCATGCTTGAGTCTATCTCTCCAAGGGTTTTTAACCTTTCTTTGTGCCATAGACCCCTGTAGCAGTCTGGTGAAGCCTGTGGCTCTTTTCCCAGAACAAAATTTTTAAATGCTTGAAATTTACATTGGGTTGCAAAGGAAACAATTAGACTTTTATATTATTTAGCAAAAATATTTCCAAAAATGAATACATGACACAGCATTTTCATGTGCTTTTTATTAATTGCTCTTTATTTAGTGATGGGTATAATTATTATAATTTTGAAGTTGAGAGGAAGCAACTATGATAACTGTGATATGATATGAAAATAGTTATGATTCCTGTTGTTGATCAAGTCAAAGACATTTTTAATTCTACTCTGGTTTAATAACTGAATTCATAATGGAAGGCCATTTTGTGTTTCACTTATAGATGAGTTTCGAAAAGAGTGACATTTTTTGCCCATCAAATTCTATCCCTGGACCCTCCCAAGACTCTGGGTGCCCAGGATAGAAACCTGTGTCCCACTCTCTGGCCTCAGTGAATGACATATACATAATTGCTTTGAACTTGACACTTTCCTGGTTTGTCCTCCTCCCTCCCCAAAGCCCTGGCCTGTAGGTTTTGGTAAGTAAGAAGTACACTTTGAGGAACAGCCAGGGTATACTTCCTTCTGCTTTCAGGAAGCTCAGAGATTTTCTCAGGGGAGCACCTCAATTGCCTGGTCTCAATACTCAACCCTTTTTCTCCCTCTCCCAGGACACGGGAACAGGCAGACCCTAGCATAAAAGGAAAACACAACATCTGGCCCTCTCCTCACCAAGAACACAGCCCAGACCTAGAGGTTTACAATGTCATAAGAAAACAAAGTGAAGCCGATTTAGCTGAGCCCCGGCCAGACCTGAAGAACATTTCATTCCGGGTGTGTTCAGGAGAAGCCACTCCTGACAACATGTCTTGTGACTATGACAACATAGCTGTGAACCCTTCAGAAAGCGGGTTTGTGACTATGGCAAGTGTGGAAAGTGGATTTGTAACCAATGACATTTATGAGTTCTCCCCTGACCAAATGGGGAGGAGCAAGGAATGCAGATGGGTAGAAAATGAAATATATGGTTACTAGGACACATGAAAAAAAAATTTGAACTGATAAGAATGGAAAATATATAAGAAGAAAATTCTCCTATTTTCTATAAAGGGAAGTACTCAGAATGTCTATGAAAATGCTCAGATCAGGTCCTGGGGGTGAGCATGTGATCCCCACTAACCCCTGTTGGGTTCCCAAGTTCTGGCTTTATCCCTTGTCCCAGCCTCTTTCTCACCCAGCGGGACCTTATGAAAAAGCACCTTGGGGGCTGGGATTGTGGCTCAGTGATAGAGCGCTTGCCTAGCATGTGTGAGGCACTGGGTTTGATTCTCAGCACCACATATAAACAATTAAGTAAAATAATAAAAGTCCATCAATAACTAATAAAAATATTTTTTAAAAAGCACCTTGGCACATAGTGGTGTCCCAATAAATGTCAGTCGACTGTCAGTTAAAAAAACAGTACTTTAACTGACAAAGATGGAGCTTGTAGCTGTAGAACATGGGGAGCCCACCTCTAGGTTCTGTTTTTCTTGCTCTATACAGCAGCACACATAATCACAAAGAGATAGACTACAGCATCTTTTCAAAGCCCAAGTATAGTAGCCCCAGGCTGGCCTGCCCATCAGCAATTTTCATATCTTTTTTTTTTTTTCCTCAAAGAATAAAATCAAATAAAAAGCAGGAAACAGAATGTTAGTCAGTCTGTGTCTACAGCCCTTCCTCTGCATGTGGCCTCAGGGGACCTTTTTTTTTTTTTCTCCTGACATCTAAACTTAGAAATGTTCAACTTGGAAATACTTTAGAAACTAAAAATGAAATTTGTGTCTGTGCTTCTAAACTTATTTGTGCTCCCAGCCCTGATACTACACGTTGTCTTATTTGCACATGCATTTTACTATAGCATCAACATATTACTAAGAATGATAATAATCCTACTTTTTTTTTGGGGGGGGGTGGGGGGGGGGAGGACATGACTATATGACTACTTCAAATACTTTTGGTCTCAAATCCAGAGAAAAGTTTCTGGATTTGAGACCAAAGGCCTGGTATCAGTCATGTAATTTAGTAAGTCATATACACTTCAAAAATCTGAAAGCCATTATTTAAATCACCAGCAACCTCCCTCTATCAACTTAATAATCTTATCATTTTAACCACTTCCCTCTTAGGAATTATTTTTAATAGTCTAGCAATTATGTCTCATATATGGAGCCCCAAATCAGACAATTAACTAGTCTGGGTCAGCAGTATCAAATGCAGTGAATTGTAACCACTGCCCAACTATCTGCCCTAGTAAGTCAGAGAACAGGGTGGATAACAAAAATATTATTTCTGTCTGTTCTGGAAGTGTGTTTTGTGGAGTTACAACATTTGAAGCAAAAGCAGTGAGCAGCATGCGGTCTGAAGGACTAATTCATTGCTCTAAAATGTCCGAATTCCCACTTTGCCTCATACAGGTTACTCTAAAACCTGTCTCTTTATCCTCTACTGTGTCCCCACTATCCCCTGCTACAAGGCTGCAAACTCCATGAGAATAGCAACTCTACCTGCCCCTCTGCATTCTACTTGTTGCAACCTATGACAGCACCTTGCAGAGTATGCAACCAATGTTTGTTGAATAGATAGATGCACAATAATTCTTTCAGACTGATGTGAAATTGACTAAATATTTCAGATGAAAAATTTGTAGGACCTGTTTTTTACATGCCTCCTAGGTGGAGGAGGTAAATGAACAATTTTAATTTGAAAAGACCTCCTGCTACCTAGGAAGGAGGAAGCATAGCCACTAGGAACTAGAAGCTACTGAATTATGTTAACAACTTATTTTAATTATGTTACAAAACTTTAAATGAAGAGCCTTTTTTTTTTTTTTTTAATACCAGTGGTACCAGGGATTGAATCAGAGGTGTTCAACCACTGAGCCACATCCCCAGCCCTTTTTGTATTTTATTTAGAGACAGGGTCTTGCTGAGTTATTTAGGGCCTCGTGAAGAGCCATTCTCAACCTATAAAGGCAATCAGGTTATGAGCAGAGCAGGCCCTTTGCTCTTTAGCATCTTCCCTTTATCATTAGTGTGTTATCTCTGCCAGGACCCACAGATCTCTTCTACCTGTTTACACACAGTAAGTCTTAGCCTATATTTTAATTATTCACTTCCTTTTTTCTTCTTCACATGTGCAAGTTTATATTTATCCAACTCCATTTCTACCTCTAATAATTGCACTTCACTTATGTAAAAAACATCTTCTAACTCTTAAGTGTTTGCTGTGTTCAAATTGAACAACAGCTTATTCATTAGGCCAGGATTATTTAAAAATTTAGTAAGCCTGTATCATCATTTAAAATGGTAATTCCCCTAGGGCTGAGGTAGAGTGCTTGCCTAGCATGCACAAGATCCTGAACTTGATCCCCAACACCACAAAAATAAATAAATAAGTAAAACAAAATAGCAGTTCCTGACCTTTTTCCTCCATTGTGACACACATGTCAGATGAATTGTATGTATGAAATAACCCCTATGATCTGTCTACTCCACAAGTATTTCCTGAATACCCACCATGTGCCTTGTACTAGAATGTGGCCCACAGCTGGATTTATGGCTGAGGTTTGGAGAATCTAGTTATATGTTATATACATTGCCAAATGTGGTAGCTGTGAGGCTCTTTTTTTCTCTTATACTATATTCACGCATTCATTTATTTGAAAAATTTTAAACATGTCTACTTTTTGTGGGGAGACATGCTAGGTATTAGACATATAGCAATAAGTAATATAGATTGACTCCAATTTATAGGGCTTATATTCTAGAGGGGAAAAGAAATATATCAGACACGAGTGAAAGAGAATTTGCTATAATTTGTTTTTTTTTAAATTATTTGCAGCTCTTTCTATTTGCCCTTTTCTTTCCCTTCCCTTCCTTTCTGTTCCTGAATAGTTATGTCCTAAAGCCAACATGAGAGAAAGTTAGGCATCTGTATCTTGGGGATGGAGAGGACTTGGTAGCTCAGATGGGATGTCAGGCCCGAGCAGGATGAGGAAAGAAGGTTTGCAGAGCGCAGACTGGGTGCCTGTGTGGCCTGAGCAGGTGAGGAGGCCATCCACACAGGGGAGGGGACAGCAGCAACAATGGGACACTGGCTGCACACAGGGGATTGATTAAATAAGTAAGCAGACTTAAGATAATGACATCTAGGCTTCTCACTATCACAGAAGGGAGCTACAGATATAAAAAGAGAGAAGACTAGAATAGATACCCCATGATGTTAGATCAAAATTACAAACATGAGTTTCACCTCTTCGCTTTCTATATCAAGTATAGACACACATATGTATCTATGTATGTACATTCTCCACTAAAAGAAACCAGAACTTCTTGAAAAAATGGCTGATTGCAGGGTGGAACCAGGAAAAATACAAGATTTGCCTTGGGTAGTAGCTACAATTAGATAGAAGTAATAAGTTCTGGTGTTCTACAGAATAATAAGGGGCCTAAAGTTCACAATAACCTATTGTATATTTTATGAATAACTGCAACAGAGGAGCTGGAAGTCTTCAAACACAAAGTAAGGGTAAGAAGATGGAAAATATTAATTTCCCTTTACTTTATCAGTACATACTTTATACATGCATTGAAACATCCCACTGTATCCCATAAATATGTACAGCTGTTATATGTTAATCAAAAATTGTTTAAATGTTTAAAAATGTGAAAAAAAGAATAGTTTGGGGACTTTTCTGCTGGCAGAAAGCAAGGAAGTATTTAAGAAAGAGGGGAATATATCAGTAGATCACAGAAGTCTGCTTATAGTGGCCTACTTTGGCTAACTGGGATAATTCAGCATCAAAATCAATAATTATAGTGATAGGATATAACCTATCAGATAAAATGAAAATCATGAGCCCACCCTGATATAAAATAATAAATGAACAAATCGAAACTTTGATGAAGAATGAGATATTTACAGTTTAAAGTGTCTCCCCCACAAAATGCTCATTAATTGCCAAAGCAACACTGCAGGTGGACACCACCTTAATCAAATGATCCATGTGGAGATCATCAATAATGGGGCAAATTGAAACCATAGCACCTAATGTGAAAGGAACACAGCATCACATCTGTGTTATTTCTGCCTAAGCACACAACCTAATGACAAGGAAGCATCATACAAAAACAAATTAATGGACATTCTACAAAATAACTGGCTTGTGGACTTTAAGTCTCAAGATGACAAATATCAAAGAAAGACTGGGGAACTACTGTGATTAAAGGAGAGTAAAGACAGATGACAACAAAAGGCACTACCTGATTCTGAACCAGATCCATTTTCTATGAAAGAACACATGACAAAACTTGAATGGAGCCTGAGGATTAAATGATAGTAATATAGCATATGAATTTTCTAATTTTGATGGTAGTATTGCAGTTATCTAAGAGAATGTCCTTGACTGTAAGAAACACATAATAGAGTATTAAGGGATGAGGGGCTATCAGGTTGGCAACGTACTCTCAGATGATTTGAGGGGGTGTTCGTTGTACTATATTTGCAAATTTTTCCCCTTAGAAATACTTTAAGGAAGAGCATTTGCAAGCATTGGTACTATAATCACTGGTAATATATTGTTTACAATACTCCTTGCGTCTAAGCTCAACACACCAGTTTGTTATGACGTTGTGACTGAGGGCACCTGAGAGCCTCTGATGCAAGACAAACATGAATCATTAATAAAGCTATCAATCAGTACCCTATCTCCAGGCTCAGGCATATTTCTCAAACCTTCCTTTTGCCAAGTCCTGGCAGTCTACAAGGAACTATGATGAGCCCCCTGCCAAAGCAAATTCCAAGATCCTTTTCCTCCAAGATTTCCCATTTTTCCCATTGTGTGATCTAGACTAGGAAAGCAAACAAACAAAAAAAACTTCATAGTGTCTTCCAGCACTTAAATTATTTCAATATGACTTTTACACAAATTATTACAAAGCATGTCATGCCCATATGACTTCTGAACTTGTTCTAAGACATACATAATTATGGAGATAGAGGTACCAGATGAAGACCTAGGAAACTGCATACCCAGAGATGAAGAAGCAACAATGCACAGCCCCTTCTTTCTTTCTTTCTTTGAACAGTGAATTGTTAAGTAATCTTATTTTTTTTAATCCAGAATTTGAACAGCAGAAATAATGACAAGAATTATTCATCAGAGCAAGTTCTCCAAAATAGAATAAGGTCAGGTTTGAGGTTTCAAAAAAATATTAATCTATTGCATTTATATTACCCTACTGAAGAAATACTTCAAAATTTCTATGATCAGTTACACATTTAATCAGCAAAATTTATATCAGGGTCTCAAAGTTTGTGTTGTTCTATTTCATAGGCCCTGGTTTGGTTTAAAACAGGATCGAATAGAATTTATAACTGCTTGATAGAGTAGTTGTGTTAGAGGGAAAGGTCTGTGATCAATTCCTGTGATGCAACTCTGCGAGGAAGCTGGAGGTTGCTTTAATTGCTTACACCACCAGGTGGCAATGTTAGGATGCCATAGAAATTTTACCTAATTTTAACATTCAGGTTTTGGCATGTAACTCCCTGCAACCATAAAGAGAAGTGGAGGAAGGACATAAGGAGAGACAAGACAGTATAATGAAGTAGTTAAAATTCTGGATTCTGGAATCAGGGCATCTAGGTTCT